ATTGATGGCCAAATCAAGGCCGCCTCGCCATACTGAGGTAGCGTGGTTTCTTCAGTTGTCCCTTATCACGTATGACGGGCATTGAACGACGGACAGTATAGTCTCTGAAGAGACGGGTCGTGTACAGAAACAACGCGTAAGATTAGACAAAAAAGTCGGCATAGCTCGGCTGGGTACAGAATATACACAATAATTGAAGCAGCTTAGTATCGTGGTTACCAGCCATCTACCATCTCTTAGTATTCCCAACCTTGGTTTTCCCAAATTCACCCAATCCCTTGTTGTCCCTATATGAAAATGAGTTTGTGTCACGCCCATAGACCCAACGCCGTCGCAAACCCACACACACATACACATACATCTCTTTCTTCCTCTACCAGTGCGTCGGCCCAAACTTCTGGCCCGGTGGCGGCGTCATCTGGATCGCGGTGCCCTGCGCATCCATCGTTGACGTGACGATGTCGTTGCCCCACCACTTGGGCGGCTCGATCTTGTTGAGCGTGAAGGCCAGGAAGATGACCAGCGTCGCGAGTGCGAGACCCAGGTCCAGGCCGGACGAGGTGAGGTAGTTGAGGCGCGACCACCAGCCAAAGTGCTTCTTGCGGATGTAGTGCTGGAAGATGTAGCCGACGATGCCCCAGCTGAGGTAGTTGAGCGGGGTGGCGGGCGGGATGGCGCCGGCGCCGCCGAAGATGACGGGGGCCATGAGGTACTTGATGGGGCTCTTGGGCCACTTGAGGGCGGCGAAGTAGAAGATGACGGGGGTGACGGCGCCGACGCCGAAGAAGATGAAGAGGCCCGAGTAGACCTGGCCCGGGGAGAACATGCGCGCGGGGCCGATGAGACCCCAGATGACGGAGGCGGCGAAGAAGACGCGGCCGCCGGGGCAGGAGAACTTGTTCTCCTGGTGCGGGGTGCAGACGTCGGGGATGTTCTTGAGCGCCGCGTTAAGGACGGCGATTTGGATAAAGCAGGAGAAGGTAGTTGCGACGACCTGGCACATGAACATTGTGCGGGGCGGGATCTTCATGTAGTGCCCGAACTTGAGGTCGGAGACAAAGCTAAGGGCCTGGGACATGGTGATGTAGCCGAAGGTCTTGAAGCTGCGGAACTTGTCAGTAAGGTGCAAGGGTCTGATGTCTGACACGCAAGGACTTACATCATCAGGGCGAGAGGTCGTCCGGGCTGGATGTAGCCGTAGATGAACTCCGTGAGCACGTTCAGACCGATCTGATTGTTCGTGATGGCCTGGATGATGCCGATGGGCAGGGAGAAGCTGAAGGAGATGACAACAGCCAGAAGGAATGCCCACCAGCTCAGGTTGGTCGGGTACGCGAGGACAGCGACGAAGCCGACGCCAAGCATCTAGAGTTCAGGTCAGTAAGCGTCGGGAGGATTTTCGACGCTTGAGCACTCACGATGACGAACAGGCCCATGTACCACCACGTAGGCGCCTCCTTGTACTTCTTCATGAGCTTCATGTGGATATCGGGCTTCTCCTTGGTGCTGCCGCGGTACTGAGCCCAGATCTGCTTTCCGTTGTGCAGGTAAGTGTAAACGATCAGTGAGGCGATGGCGGCGAATGACAGGCCGTAAGAAATGGCGAACGTCGTGCTGATGAACAGCGGCGAATAGGCCTTGTACGCCTCCTCGTTCAGCGTCAACTGGGGGGTCAAAATACGGCTAGTGTTGTACGGGCTGCCGGTGTTGTCGTAGGTGCCCGAGTCGCTCATGGGCAGGTACTGGGCGTACCACACACCGCTGTAGTGGAAGGCTGAGGCGCCGATGAGGAAGAAGGTGACAACACCGATCAGGGTGTTGGCAATGGCGTGCCATGGGGGGATGAGAGGGGAGCCGACGAAACCGGAGATCTGGGTCCAGTCGAGGGTCAGTGGCAGCAGCGACAGACCACTTGTGCCGCCAAACAATTGATTGACGATGACGTTGTTCGGCGCAATCCATGTGGCGAAGGCCATGATGCTGAGGAACTGCGCGAGGAAACCCGGAATCCAATAGTAGCAGAATGAAGCCAAGACGATGATCGAGAACCACTTGTATCGCGGCATGGAGCCGCCAATGAAGCTCGGGTCGGGACGGTCATTCTTCTCGTACATGGCGTTCATCAGAGTGACGGAGACCAAGTTTCCGGGCCAGATCATGGCGGCCGGATAGACTGAAATTGACATTAGTAAACCAACACACCGCCATGCTCACGTAAAACTCACCAAGGAACTTTCTCATAATGCCGGCAATTCCGTAGCCGAGGGATTGTGTCGAAATCGTCAGTAGCAGCTGAAAGAGGATGCCGAAATCCTGCTTGTAGAACACAAGCTGAGCCAAAATAATATCCGTGGCGTAAGCAACGGAGAAGGAGACACCCGCCATGACGACGATGATGGAGTGCTCCTTGACATTAAACGGACCCGGGTTCAAACTCCACTTGATACCAAACGTCTTGAACTGCTTCGTAGGCATGACCTTGGCCCAGCCGTGTCCCATCGGCCAGGCGATAATCTGAGCAATCAGAGGTCCAAGACCGATGGACGGCTGGCGTAATGAGAACAGCGTGTTCATCGAGGCACCGACGGTCACCAGCAGCAAGCCGATAGTCCATGCTCGGATCGTGTTGCATGGTACATCTTCGTCGTAGTTGCGGACGGCGGCGCGAACTTCGGGATATGGTGAATCCTCCTCCTCCTCGGCCTTCATAGCCAACTCATCGTCAACCTCTTCGGTAGGCGTGGTCGCCGCCTTCTGGACTCTCGAGTCGTATTCTTCGGGCAGATTGGGATCTAAAAGAAGTTCATGTTCGGACCCTTGCTCTTCATCATCAGAGTAGCCGGCATAGACACTAGACTCACCCCATTGCGAGAGGCGCTCCTTCAAGTCCTCGACCGGATCAGGCCGTTCTTGATATCTCGACGTGATCGAGTCGGAGGCAGGGTTGATCTCGCGCCCACTGACTTCAACCCCTTCCTGTTTGTCGTCGTACCCGCGATCGTGGTCTACCATCATGGGTGCGGAAGCCGTGCCAGACGACTGTGCATGTGATGGTTGGGCCATGTTGAAGGTATTCCCAGACTGGATTGACAGCGAGGGAGCACAATCATCGACGCAAGGGCTAAAACGTCCAAAAGCAGGAAGAAGGCAGTGGGTTTCTATATAGGGGAGAGTCTAAAGTGTCTACTACGGCACAGGCGGATGTGCTGTGCGTTGGGAGAGAGAGAGACGGGTCGAGGGGAACCCGCTGAGCTACGAGCGCCGATCCCAGACGAACATGAAGCAAACGCTAATGAGAACCTTTTGGATGTACCCGATAAGCCTCTCTGATGGATTTCTCAAGGCCAGCGGTGGCGTGATTGGACGCGGAACTCGAGGTGAAGCAACCTGCAGGGCCGCAGGGTCGATGAGTAGATGACTGGCCCCGTGCTCTGGGGGAGACAGGGTGATGCTCGGCAGAGAAAAAGTAGGGGCGATCAGCGAACCGGGATCAGACTGAAGGCAGGCGAGGAGGATGGCTGGAGGGAGGTAACGTCGAGGGTATGAGATGTGGGATGGGCGATGATCGGACGGCCACAGATGTTGAGGATGATGGTGTGCGAAGGCATGAAATGGGCTAGTCTCAAGGAAGGCGTATGTCCCGACTGGTATCAATGCTCGAGCGAGAAGGTTGGACTAAGGCGATGTACAGGCTCATAGGACGAGAGAGGCCAATCGATAAGAAGGGAAACAAATGCGACGCTGAAACCAAGCTGCGGCACAACTCAGCACAGATGCGTGTGGGTGTGGCGAGTTGAGGGCCGAGAGGTGAGAGCCGCAAGTTGCGGGGATGAAAGAAGGTCGTGTTTGGGTGCCGCGTCGACCGAGATGCGATGGGAGACCCTGCCAGACAAGCAAAGCCAAGATTGGGGTGTTGCCTCTTGTTCCTGACGGCAGTGGGATTGTTTCTCTCGGCTGGTTTAGCCTGGGCGGTGGTGATGGCGATTTGGAATGCAAGGAAGACGGTGTTGTCTGAAACGTGGCTCAATGGCAAGTTGAGATGTCGTCCGCCGGGGAGTTCGTTCTTTCTCGCGTGTTGGATTGGGCGGCCCCTGAAGCGCACAGGGGAGAGGGATCCAATGGGTTGGATAAGGATGTCACCCCTTCAGTCGCAATCGACGTGGTGTTGTTGTGGTGGTGGTGAGTGAATGCAGAGCGCAGACGCAGCAGAGAGGTCAAGGTTTCGCGGGTCGTGGGGGTACGTTGGACGTGAGAGTGAGAGGCGAGTGAGTGAGTGAGCAACAGCAGCATGTGCAGTCGAGTCGCAGTCGCAACGTATGTCGTTGCGCAGTGTTGCGTTGCGTTTGCGGCGCAGAGACCCCGTTGGCTGGAACCAGGTCTCTGGAGCTGACCGCCGCCAATGGGGGACCTGACCCAGTTGCAGCGACCACATTAGTGTCCCCCGCTTCCCGCTGCAATCTGCTCTCGGCGACGGCCGTCAGATCTCGACACTGTGACAGCACTATGAAATGGCGCCCTCAAATGCCCTGCTGCCTCCAGAAGTCGCGTGATGGTCGCTACGACGGCCCCTGGCAGCACAGTGTGTCTGCGTTCTTCTCCCCCTGCAGCCTTCGTGGGGTACGTACCTTATCCGAGCTGTCTCTCCATTGAGAACGCGCTAAAACTTGCATCTGTGCGGCGCAGCAGAAGCGACCCGACCGCGGCTTCTACTGCAAGTCTGCAGCGCAGTCTCTAACATTGTTCCGACTTCAATCCTCAACTCCTTAGCCACACCCGGCTTGGCCTGACACTTGACACTGCACTTCATACCTGGCCGTGCTCTTCTCAGACCCTCGTCTTCTCTCTCAATTCTTATCGGGCGAATCACGGCAACGCCCCAGTTTCCCCCGCCTTTTGCCCTTCCTTGCCGTTTATCTTCACGCCGTTTATATTCCGGTGCGTTTATAAGGCAAAAGTAACCACACACCACAGATTGCCGTTACCCTGGACATGGCCGGATCATGCGACGAGTTGTCGTGACAGGGCTCGGCGCCATCTCGCCCTTCGGTGTCGGCGTGCGCAACACGTGGAATCGGCTGCTGGCTGGAGAGTCCGCCATCACCAGCGTCGCCGACTTTGAGCCACAGAAGCATTGGAAGGATCTCACAAGCACGGTTGCTGGTGTAGTCCCCAGCCATGGCACAGGTCCAGAACAGTGGCGACCGTCCGACTGGCTCAACGCCACGGAACAACGTCGCATGTCCAAGTTTGCCCAATATGCCGTGGCCTGTGCGGACATGGCCATGAAGGATGCCGCATGGAAGCCGGAAAGCCAAGACGACCTGGAAGCAACGGGAGTTTGTCTGGGCAGTGGTATCGGCAATCTGGAAGAGATTTACGAGACGAGCTTGGCATTCAACCAACAAGTGAGGATTAGAGCCGCAGTGATCGACGAGCGAAGCCAAGCTAAAGTCTGTTCGGATAGGGCTACAAGAAGGTTTCGCCGCTGTTCGTCCCCAAAATTCTCATCAACCTGGCCGCTGGCCATGTCTCCATGAAGTACGGCCTGCAAGGCCCCAACCATGCCGTCACAACCGCCTGCACAACCGGCGCGCATTCCATAGGCGACGCGATGCGATTCATTGCTTTTGGCGATGCCGACGTCATGGTTGCTGGCGGAACAGAGTCCTGCATCCATCCCTTGACATTTGCGGGTTTCGGGAGGGCAAGGTCCCTCTCCACGGCCTATAACCACAACCCCCACGCCAGCTGTCGTCCCTTCGACCGCGACCGCAATGGTTTCGTCGTCTCGGAGGGTGCGGCAGTCCTGGTCCTGGAGGAACTCGAGCACGCCAGGGCCCGGGGTGCGCACATCTACGCGGAGGTCAGGGGCTACGGCTGCAGCGGCGACGCAAATCACATGACGGCTCCGCGAGACGACGGCCACGGCGCTTTCCGCGCCATGAAGGCTGCCCTGAAGAACGCGAGAATCCCACCGGCCGATGTGAGCTACGTTAATGCCCATGCTACGGCGACACAGGTGGGCGATGTGGCAGAAGCTTCCGCAATTCGAAGCATCATGACGGGTGAGGAAGGCCACGCGGACGAGTCGCAGATAACCGTGAGCAGCACCAAGGGCGCAGTTGGGCATCTACTGGGGGCGGCTGGCGCGATCGAAGCCATGTTTGCCGTGCTATCAGTGGCTGAGGTGAGTATAGGGCGCGGCTATTTCTTCTGAAACCGAAACCTTGTCTTCCCCAGACTTAGGCCCAATGAACACCACTGACTCTATCAAAGGACATCGTGCCGCCTACTCTGAATCTCGAAAACCCAGATGTCGGGGGATCCATGAATCTGGTACCCCTCCAAGCACAAGCGAAACAGGTTAACGTTGCCATGTCCAATAGCTTTGGGTTCGGCGGCACGAATGCCTCGTTGGTTTTTTCCAAAGTCCGATAACGACGGTTTGTCGACCGGGGAAAACGAAGTATGTTGCGACGAAGACGCCCGTCTCGTCGCAGCATCTCATCGTCTGGCTCAGACTTTGCGATTAGACATATACGAGATGAGCCGAAGCTTGTCGTCGTCATCACCTCTGTGCAACTTGGATACACCACGTGTGTGAGATAGAATTGCCGATAAACGCAATGGGAGGCGCGAATGGCGCCAACTGTATTTGTCGAACTCACCTCAGGACGGGAAGCTTGAGGCTGGAGATACCCGCCGGTCAATTGTCAAATTTCGGAGTCCGTCCCCAGAAATTGAAGTTTCTGGTCTGAACACGCGATCAGTCGACTTGGCTATTCCTGGTCATCAATAGAACTCTGCCAGTGTTTATGCAAGGGACGAGACTTCCCTAATAAAAGGTGTAATAAGCATAGTTAACGATATCGAGATACCATATAGCCACCGTGCGAAAGCACACATCACACCGTGGACGGGTGGATGACCCGAAGTTCCGCCGATCTGGCACATGCGCGCTAGCTCGAAATTTCCAATTCGATGTGTTCATGATTTTTTTTGGATGACGTTCAGACTTTGAGCCTCGCGAAGCCGGGCCCGAGCTGACCCAAGAAAAAGGCCCGCCCCAATTCGTCGATACCCTCCCCTGCAACATCGAAGCTCATGCGCAGCTGATATTCAATCCGAACAACCTCTCAACATGGCCTGCCAGAGCTGCCGTTATCAAGCCCGGCTCCTAGCCCGGAGTCTTCGAGCCACAGCAGAACTTTCAAGTGCATCTTCGACCCGGAACACCCTCGCCCGCCGTGCGATAGCCTCTTCTGCCCCGGCAACCCAGACTACGAGTGCGACAGCGGCGAGCGGAACGAGATATTTCAGCCAATCTGTGCCCAGGAAAGATGTCAAAGGCACGAGCTTCAAGCAGGCGATCCGCGCGGGCATGCTCGCCGCGGCACCCAAGACGATGGCGGCTTCCTTAACGACGAACCGTCTCGAGGCTCTGTACGGGGTCTGCGCCAAGCCTGCCCTGTACAAGATTTCCGAGCAAGACCGCCACAACGAGACGGTGAGGATGACGGAGGACGGCGAGGAAGTCGGCGAGGCTCAGGGTCCCTGGCTCGAAGGTAGGCATAGTACCCCGCCATAAGATATCCCAAAATGCTAACATGATTGCCCTCCAAAAACAGCCCTCGACCTCCAGCCTTCATTCTCCTCCTGGTCCCAGACCACGATGCTGCACATGTACATCGTCCTAGCCCGCCTCCGCTGCCTCGACCGCGATGCAGCCCAGGCCCTGCAGCACCAGTTCATCGACCAGTTCTTCTTCGACTGCGAGCGCATGATGCACCTCAACCACGGCATGACGTCGTCCGCGCTGCGCCAGCGCTACCTCAAGGAGATATTCGTGCAGTGGCGCGGCCTCATCGCCGCCTACGACGAGGGCATCGTCAAGGACGACCGCGTCCTCGGCGCCGCCGTCTGGCGCAACCTGTTCAAGTCCCGCGAGGACGCCGACATGCGCCAGGTCGCCGCCGTTGTCGCGTGGATCCGCGCCAGCCTGCGCGACCTTGAGGCCGGCGCCGTGGAGGACCTGCTGGTGGACCCGCGGATGGTGTTCAGACGGGACCTGAAGGACATGTTCAAGCTCGTGGACGCGTTTGCGCCGGAGCTGAAGGGGGAGTTTGAGACGCTGGGCGCGAAGGGAGAGGAGCTGCCGCCGCCTGAGCCGGTTGCGGAGAGGCAGGGCGCTGTGTACGAGGAGGTTGAGTCATTAAAGGAGGCTGCTGCCAAGGTTTTGTAAAGAGCTGGAATACGCTTCTTCTGTGTACCATCATGGCAATACGCTTGTAATTTTGTACAATCACCGGCATACTAGAGGCGTCACCATGAATGATGGTGCTTACGGCTCAATGAGGGTCGTACAAAGTAGACATGTCCACGAGCCCCAAGTCTCCATTTGAGACTCAATGAAAGAAAAACTCATCTTAAGCCTTCTCCCACATCTGGAACTCATACCGCGTGCCGTTCTCCTCAATCTCACCCCCCTCAACCTCTTCGCCAACCCATTCGTCCAGCTCTCGCTTCTCCCTCCTCGCCCACCCCTCCGCCGAGTCCTCGCCGCCCCCAAGCTTGAGCGGGAAGAACGCGTCGCACTCAAAGTCGCCCAGCACCCTCGTCAGGAGCACGCGCTTCGCCTCGGGCAGCTCCAGCGCGGCGCCGTAGATCTGCGCGCCGCCGATGACGAAGACCTTGCTGCTGACTTCCGCATCGGGCCGGCTGCGCACGAAGGCGAGGGCCTGCTCGAGCGAGCCGACCTTGACGGGCTCCTTATCGTAGTCCGCCGGGGTCGCGGCGGAGGAGTCGAAGGGAGGGTGGGAGCGGGAGATTACAATGTTGAGGCGGCCCTTGAGAGGGCGGAAGCGCGGGGGGATGCTGTCCCATGTTTTGCGGCCCATGATCACTGCGTTCTTTGCGCCGGAGGGGGCCTGGTGGTGTGTGTTAGTCTGGATGCATCTGAGGCGTGTTGCGTTGCGGTCTGGTGAGTGAGGGAAGAGGGCGAAACGTTACCTGAGCTGGGAGCCTCTTGGTCACACGCGCAAAGTAGGCCATCTCCTTTTTCAATCCCGTCCAGGGAAGGCCACCCTTGGCTCCGATGCCCATGTTGCGCGTCGCCGCGACGATGAGTGTGAGTTCGTGGCTCATTTTGGACGCCGTGTGTCTTTGCCCAAAGCTCCCCTTTGCAAATGGCAGGTTTGGTCAATTTCAGGTTTAGAACAGTTGCTAGATAGCTAGGTGTTGCGGTACTTCGGCTTGCTTGCTTGCTCTGGATGTTCACTGAGAATGCAGGATGAACGACGAATTGCGGTTCATTCTAGGTTTTGCGGGACGAGGCGAGGACGAAAATGGCTTGCACAAGGCGGGCGATTGGTGGGCTTGGTCTCCCCCAACGAACTATCGAATCAGACTATACCTCCGAGACAAACCGCGACGACAGCGGTCAAGACAAGAAATTTGATCACTTATCATGACCTGGGAAACAATTAGGGCATCTATTCGTGATATTTTCTAGACATGTTTTCAAGTTCAGATTTGTCGTCGCAGCGCGATGGAAGATATTGGGGGACTCGCATCAAAAAAGAAAGGAAAAAAATTAATTCAAATATCAAAAGAATTCACTTGAACCCTTAAACCCCACCGATCATATATGGACGGACACCAGGGCGCTGCGATTACGCTGACCTGACCGCTGGGCCATTTTGTTCTTCTCACCGGTTGACAACAGAGCAAGAAGCAAGAACATGTAGGCTGTCACCTGAGATGAGAGCCATCGCCCCCGCCATGCCATGTCAGTCTGAGCTGGGTCATATATCACTCCGAATCTCACGTTCAGGTGATGAAGCCTCGAATAAATTTATATGGTATATAATGATGTGATTTCTTATCACGAATTCAGTTTGCGCCACTGCCAAGAACTCCATTCGACGTCCCGTCATGAGTTATGAAGCCACCTTACTAATATTAGGAAATTCATGTCGTGTTCATCCTTTCCTCGATCTCATCGCAGTTCCACCGAAGGGAAATACCGAGGCCCCGCGAAGCCCTTGGCGAGAACCGCTTGTATATCAATGTTGCTGCCGGATGCGCGGCTGCTGCTCCACATCTTGAGGAGAATGAACCGCCCCGAGACCGGGGGGTCAAACCGTATGGTGCACTTGCTCTTATCCTTCTCGATGAAGAACTTGGCGTGCGGTGCCATTAATTCACCGCCCACAGCTCGGACAGCTTCTTGGGTTGCCATCTGAGTGGCCTCAACAGCCTCTGCCAGAGACATATCCGACGGGTCTCGGCGTCTGTTGTTGAAAGAATAATCTTCAAAATCATACCTGTCTGACGCGAACGGGTTCCCATCATCGCTGCTATCACTTTCGAACGGCAGCGATCCGATTCTATTCGGTGCTCGCCTGTTGACTGAGATTCTTGGTGTATCTTCGTCATCCGTCTCCTCGTAGCTGCACTCGGTTGTGATGTTGAAAGGTGGCAGCTGACTTGTGAATTCTGCGGGTATTTGTGCCGTCCGCTGCTCATTTTCGTCGTCTTCCCCGTCCATACTGTACAGCCGTCTCTGCCGAGTGTGTGTCCTGGTCACGGTAGTTCCGTCCTCGTGGTGCCGAATAGAGATGATTGGGGCCAGCGGTCTTGTGGACGCTGATCGACCTGATCTCAATGAAGCGTATTGAATCTCATATTGTGCCGTCCGCGTCAAGACCTCATCCTGGTGCATGGATACGAATACCATGCCCTCTCGTACACTACGAAAGTGTCAGTCACAATCTACGGCTCTGCGCAAGGCCGACTTACGGCGAGGAGTAATTTAAGGCCGGAGCCTTGATCACGAGCTCTTTCAAACTGAACGGCGTCGCACCCTGATGCTTCAGTATAATATTGCAACGATTAGACTGCGTGCAATAGACGGTCTTGTCGTCTCTTAGTATGTTGTCGTAAGCATAGGAAGATGCATTTTCGAATAGTCCTCCATCGCAGCTCAGAATTTCCATCTTCAGCTGGCCTGGCTCGACTTGGCCGTATCTTCCATATCGAAAACCCTTGAAACTCTGCGAGGCTCTTTCAGAATCCAGCTTCCTCCTCTTTACACGTCGGTTCTCCTCGGGGTACTCCTCCGACTGCGGAAGTGGTGACAGATTGGGTGGGGATAGATTTGGAGGCATCCTGGGCGGAGAAAAGGGTGATGAGCTGTACTGAGCTCTCTGGTTCCACAATGCTCTAACCGCCTCCAAATCGTCTTCGGCGCCGACGTCGTGTCGCTGCCGGCCGTTCAAGGATCGGATAGTTCGGTAGCCAAAAACTGGGGGCAGTTGTGTAGCCGGGCGCCGAGAGTCGTTCTCTGGTCTTTGGTCGTTCTGTAGGGTCTCCAACAAGCCGGTCGCTTGATTACGGTTCCGTGAGCGCTCCAAGACAGGATCTGACGCCGATGAAATGAAAGCAGTCAGATCACTCAGGGTGTTGCCCACGAAGTTCCCCAGAAGTTCGTCGTATTCCGCCTGGAAGTGCCTGTCTGCCATCTGTCGTCGTGCTGCTCGGACGATGTCTCCCGTGTCGTCAGTGTCGTACGGATCTTCCTGATCTCCGTGGGATGCGTAAGGTTCAGCTCCCCAGAGACGGTGCCGAGGGGGAAGCGGGGGACGAGGGCCGCGGGTCGAAGGCAAGGGCGGTAGCGGGGGGAGTCTGCGATATGGCGGTAGGGGCGGAAAGTCTTGATCTCGCCGTTGAGGGTTCTGACTCGGGTCTGGCCGCTGTGACGACATGCTTCGTCAGAAGACGATTTTGAGGGTCCAGCGACGCAGACACCAGAAGACAGGAGCGGCTCGCAAAGCTCGTCGGTCTTCGGTGTCAGGTGGCCAGAGGTCGCAGGAGGGTTGGCGGTACCGAATCGACGTAAGAAATGTGGGTTCGACGGGCGGTGGCTTCGGGGGAAGCTGACGGTGCTGAGGTCGTGGTCAACTGCACATCAAGCTGCAGGAAACCGGTCAAAGAATGCATGCACCTGAAGAACTGATTAGGTGACCAGGCGAACACGTCGGAAGCTGTGCAAAAGAGGAGTCGGCAGTTCGAGTCTGCAGGCTGCCGAAGATAGGGCTCGAAGACAAGGGCGGAACCTCCTCCACTGGGGGGTTTGCACTCACACACGAGGCGTTTGCAGGCGGGGGGCCGATCGGTGAAGGCTACCATTAATCGTCGCAAACGAGGAACGAGATGCTGATGGGTTCGAAATGTATAAGACGTATGGAAGCGATAGTTTCGAGAGAACCAGAGGATGCTGGCGCGAGTGGCCGTCGCAGCAGCTCGGCGTGTCGTCAGCAGAGCAGTAAAAGGCGGAAGTTGGTTGGTCGGTGGTTGAAGTTGGATGGCTACTCGAAAGTCCAATCCAGCAGGAGGGAGGCAAGCAAACGAACAGTGTCAGTGGTGGGATCGCCCTGATGCACCCGCTAAAGTAAGCCCCTGGCCCTGTCCATCGCGGGGTTCCGTGCCTGTAAGAACTGCCCGTGATGCAAGGAAGGAGGCAGCGCCGATAATTGATAGCAGCTACTTCTGTTTGCAGACATCCATGCAGGAGAGTAAGGTACCAATTAAGCGTGGCTTTAGCGCGTTATCCGTGCCAGTCCGGGGCCTGCGTCGGACGTGCCTTGTGCCTTGGTCGTCACGTTAACAATTTCTGTTTGCTGGCGTCTCTGTCTCTGTCTCTGTCTCTCTTAGTGAACCTCTCCGGCCTTCAGCCTTGCTTTGCTTCATGAGCTGAGGCCTTATATCAACATCAACTCTTCAGCCGGCGACGTCATTTTAGCGACTTGATCTGCTCACTTGCGATTGCAGCAAAAGCTGCCTCCGAACCGAACACCGCGACCCCCGTAAACCCTCGCCTACGCCCAGCTCGCTCGATCCGGTTTCACTTTCCTCTTACCGATTCGCTGCGTCGCGCATCTCATCAGTCTAGTGCCTGGCGCAAACTTATCTCAAGATCCCCCCCGACGAATCGGCTATCAGCTGAACTCGTCCAAACGACGCGACCACCACCGATTGCGCATCCATCGCGCCTTCCTCAGCCCATCTCAATCTCATCTCACTAGCTCATCATGGAGGAGCAATCACAGCCTCAAGACAAGCCCGCCCCAGACGCTGCTGCACCAGCGGTTGCGCCTGCCGCTGCAATTGAGACCAGCGCAGCACCTCCACAGCCTCAGCCTCAACAAGTCTCTATCCCAAGCCATCCTATGCCCGACATGG